GTATGGAAGTATGCATGGCTTATTTCAGGGGCGATCTGATTGGTTAGCATACAACCAGGGAAATTTGATCCTCAGGCAAAGTGGGAGGCAACAATTTTGAGCATATCATGCCCTTAGATAAAACAGAACAGTTTGCAGGCCTAAATCCTCAATAACTAATATGTTTCTGACAATATAATGTCCCATACCGATAGCAGTTGTTCAAAAATATTTTTTAGATGTTCATTGGTTGATTCTGGGAAGATGACAAGAACTTCCCTTGGCTTTGGTTAGATAGGTTTTGTGCTATGGACTTCTCTTACAGGAAAAAGAAATGGAAGTAATTGAAATGCATCTTTGGTTCTTTTCTTCATTCTGTTAACAAATTAAAATTATGCTTCTTGCTGTTAGTATGAAACAGTGGATAGCATTAATGAACATTATCAAACACCATCTAAGCTCCAGCTTATTTTATTCTTCATTTATTTTGTTTCAGGATGCAGGAGTAACTGTTTTGGGCACAGTTCCAAGCTTAGTGAAAGCTTGGAAGAATACCAAGTGTGTGGAAGGCTTAGACTGGACAAAGATAAAGTGAACATTCTTTCCCTTTTAATCCCAAAGGAACTTTTGCATCTGTTATAATTCTCACAAGAGGGACTTAACAATTTTATATGGCTGCAGATCCTTTGCGAGCACTGGAGAAGCCTCTAATGTTGATGATGACCTTTGGCTTTCCTCAAAATCTTACTACAAGCCAGTTATTGAATGTTGCGGAGGCACAGAGCTGGCATCATCTTACATCCAAGGGAGTCAACTGCAACCACAAGCTTTTGGAGCATTTAGCACTGCATCAATGACAACTGGCCTAGTTATCTTGGATGAACATGGAGTTGCTTCTGTAAGAACTTAATCTTGAAGCTGGTGCAGTTTCTTTTACAACAATTTCCATTCAACTTTTTAGTTCACAAGATTTACATATCCCCAAACTAATCCTATTATGATCAGTGTGGGAGACAGATGAATAAATTTGCTGTGATAATTCTAAAAGAGTCAGGTGTGTCTGTGCGTGTGTGAGCGTGCGCATGCGTGTCTATGTCTGACCTTTTTGACCTTTGTGACAGCTGGATGATAAAGCTTGTGTTGGTGAAGTCGGTTTATTCCCTCTGTATTTGGGAGCAACTGATAGATTGCTTAATGCTGATCATGAGAAGGTTTACTTTAAGGGAATGCCGATACATAACGGAATGGTATGATCAAAATTTTCTTTCTTATGATATTTGCATGTTACATTCTAAAAGCAGTGTGTTACAGTGTGTTTTTATAGCCCCTGGTTAATTTTTCAGATTATATGGTAAATAGTTGGTCAAATGCACTACGAAGGAGGTCCCAAGTTTGGATTTCCGCTCCCTAACTGTAACTATCCAATAAGAAAGGATTTCTGCTTCCTCACATTGCATTCTCCTTGTTATGCTGCTTTACTATTTTGAAAATGAGGCAACAAAATTCTAGAGACTTCAATTCTTCCAACCTGAAAATATCACTTTCACTACTTGTTAGATTTAAATTATAGTATTTCTGTATCACTTGTATGGACTAATATCAGTTAGAATATATTCAAGCAAGAATTGCTATATAAGTTTTCTTAACAAATGTTTGGAAGTGCTACCTTATGATTTGATATATGCATCGGCAGTGCCTCAGGAGACATGGGGATATCCTTAAGAGAACTGTTGGAGGCTATCTTGTCGTCCAAGGAAGGGCTGATGACACGATGAATCTTGGTGGCATTAAGGTAGTACACCCTCCTGCCTCCTATTTTTAACTGATGATTAAGCAAACTTGAAGATCATTAAACTTTTGTTGTCATCTCATACCTAAAATATTTGACTGAGCTTCAAATATTTGACTGAACTTTAATTTGGCTTCTACATAGTTTTGAAAGCATGAAAACCCTTAATTTCCCTGATCTACAGACAAGTTCTGTTGAAATTGAGCGAGTTTGTGACTGGGCTGATGAAAGCGTCTTGGAGACTGCTGCAGTGAGTGTAGCACCACCAGATGGTGGTCCAGAACTATTGGTAATATTTGTGGTGCTAAAGAAAGGATATGATTGCCAACCAGAGAAGCTGAAGATGATATTCTCGAAAGCCATTCAAGTCAACCTCAACCCCTTGTTCAAGGTTTTGCTCCTTGATGTTTTAATATCTATTCATTATTCTCTAGGCATGAAATTTTGGCAGCTAACCAAGCATCACTGTATAAATTAATCTGAACGCTTGGAGTCAAAAGTCGAAACTAAAGAGTCATTTCACTTTATGAGAAAGAGTAACTGATTTCCTGTTCAGTTCTCATTGATAAGCTAGAGAGACAATCATGTTTGTTATCACTGGGGACTAAATTCTACTGCTTTTTGATTGATCACAGGTGAAAACTGTGAAGATAATCCCAGAGTTTCCTCGAACTGCTTCGAACAAATTACTGAGGAGAGTTTTGAGGGACCAAATAAAGCATGAACTGTCTGTCCGAAGTAGAATGTAACGGCAGCTTCAGCAAGGCCTTGCAGCATCATATACCAGACACCAGTAAGAAAATTTGTCTCCCCTTTGTGCATGGATGTGGATGTGTAGAGTATGAAAATTTAGTAATGATTGGTATTCCCAATCTGTTTGTCACTTGTCACTGTTATGGGCTCTAATGGTGTTGGATTAGACCTGTTAAAGTTAAAGAGCCATCTACATATACTTCAGCGCGATGCAAATTTGCTCTTCAGTTTACTAATTTATATTTTCTTAACTAAAAATAAAAAGTTCACATTTGAATTATTGTTAGGGTAAATTTATTTTATCCCAATTTTACTTATAGATATTTGAACAATTAATGAACAATTACATAACACCTTTCAAACAAAATTTTTGATTATGTTGATGTAACATTAACGCGTAATTTTCATTGTGTGGTTACACCTTCATACAAAATCATTAATTGTATTGATGTAGTATTGCGGGTTAATCATGTAGATTTTGTAAAATATTTTTTTGTTGATTTGAGAATATTTTAAAAATAATAAAAAATTTTAAAACTTATATTTTTGTTCACTATTCCTTTTATCTGATATATTGAAAAAATTCACAAATTGATAATATGAAGTGAAAAAATAAGATTAATATAATCATTAAGTTATCATGGACTGAGAATTCTTTAATGATATTATTGACTTTTGCATTTTAACACTTTAACCAGTTAAAATTGAGTGTCCTTGTATTCAGTTGAGGAAGAGGAAAGGGGAATTGTTACCTTCTTCCGTCGACACGTGAAGGCCTACAAAATTTTTCATTTTATAACATAAATAGCAATCAGACTAAGAGTAGATCATTATATATTATTAACATAGTTTTTGTTAATAATCAATTCAAAGGTAAGTTTTTCACATGCTCATGTGTATACATATATAAAGGAGTCTTCACAACTCAATATTGGTCATTGCATTGCAGAGACGAAAACCTAATCTCCTTAGAATTTCTCAAATCGACTGCCTCTCCAAATTCCAAAGCTAGCACTTCTCTCTTCATCAAATCAATTCAAGCTCAAACGTCGCAATAAATCGTTTCTTTTAAAGAGAGGAGAGAGGCAAAAGAGGAAGAAAATGTGAAAAATGAAAAAAATCTTATCTTGCATAGAATATGTTATGAAATATAATTTGAAAGAATAATTATAAGAAAAAGTATTTAGAGGGAAAGAAAGTATTTAGAACGATTAAGAATATCTTATTCAAATGTGTATTTACAAATGAAGTGAGGAGTCTATTTATAGGCTAATAATCCCTTATCTAGATAGAATTTACAAAATGAAGATAATATTAAGAGATTAGATGGATAGATTAATTTCTAATCTTAATTCAATTTAATCTACAATCAAATCTAGATATACATACAAAACATATATATATATATAAAACATAAATTGATATTCACTAAAACATTCATAACATTCCCCTTTTAATATCCATTGTATTAAGAATATGATTCGTTAAAACTTTACTAGAAAAAAACCTCATGGGAGAAAAACTTGAGTGAAGGAAAAATAGTATAGAATGTTTTTTAAGAATGTACTTTTGAAATGCTGCCTTATTAAAAACATTATTAAGAAAAACCTTGATGAAGGAAAAGAGTACAATACGTATTTTAGTTTCCCTAATGACTGCATTATTGAGATATTTAAAACAGTACATTCCAATAGTTTATACCAACTTTTCAAATATTGTGGTAAGAAAGACTTTAATGAACAAATATGCTAGATTGCCACTTTAAAAAAATTGTTGAACACTAATATCACCTTTTTTTAGAGATTAAGTGAAGCAAAATTTTGATGAAATATGTTTTGTTCTATCGCCTTGAATATATCATTCCTTTAATTGTGTTATGCAAGTAGTATGATCCTCATAGAACGTTATTGGAATTTTCATTTTAGTTGACAAGCCAGACGTTTCTCGAATATATTGAGTTATAGATCTTAACTAGATAAATTCACGACTTGCCTCTTGAATTACTAAAATTTCTACATGATTAGAAGAAGTAGCAACTATAGTTTGTTTTACAGAATGTCATGAAATAGTCGTATCTCCATATATGAATAAATAACCTGTTCGGGATCGAACTTTGTATGGATTATATAAATATCCTGCATCTGCATAACCAACAAAATTTTATTTTGATATATTTAAGTAATGTTCATTATTATTTCAAGATATCAAAGTATATGTTTCATTCCTTTCCAATGTTTTTTATTGGAGAAGAATTACATCTTGTTAATAAATTTACAACAAATGATATATCAAGTCATGTATAGCTAGCAAGATATATTAATACTCTAATGGTAGTAAGATATGATACTTTAGGACTAAGAAGTTCTTCATCATCTGTACAAGATTGAAAAGGGTCTCTTTTCACATCTAGTGACCTTATAACCATTGGTGAACTCAGTGGATGTGCTTTATACATATAAAATCTTTTTAGCACTTTTGCTATATAATTAAATTGATGGGTAAAAATTTTATTTATTAAGTGATCAATTTGAAGACTTAAACAAAAATTCATTTTTACAAGATCTTTCATCTCAAATTCTTTTTTTAAGTAATCTAGGGCTTTTGGTAACTTATTAAAAGTTCTAATAATGTTCAAGTCATCAACATAAACAAAAATTATGGCAAATTCAAATCTGAAATTTTTTATAAAAACACATGAGCATATAGGATCATTTTTATAGCTTTCTTTCAATAAATATTCACTAAGGCGGTTATACCACAAGCGTTTGAATTATTTTAATCCATATAAAGATTTATTTAATTTAATTGACTATATTTTTCAAGAATTCAAATTTTTGTGCTTTAGGCAACTTAAATCTTTTGAGATTTTCATATAGATATCGTTATCAAGTGAGCCATATAAGTAGGCTGTAGTTATATTCATTTAACATATTTTGATCTTTTCAAGTATTGTTAGAATAATTAAAATAGAATTGTAATTGCAATCACCACAAGAGAATATGTCTTTTTATAATTATTGCTAGATCTTTGGGTAAAACATTGTGTGACAAACCGTGTTTTATATCTCACAATCTCATTTTTCTCATTTCATTTTGGACAAATACTCATTTATATCCCATTGGTTTTATACCATTTGGCATACAGACTACAAGTCCAAAAACTTTACATATTATAAGAGAATTCAATTCCACCTTGATTATGTCTTTCCAAATTGGCGAATCATATCTATTTCTACATTCCTCAATATATGTAAGTTTAAGATCCTCATTTTCTTTTATAATATTGAGCACTACATTATATACAAAAATATCATCGACATTTATTTTGTTCTAGTCCCATCTTTTTCATGTTTTGATAAAATTTATTGAGATTTTTTCATTTTCAATTATTTCAAGTACTTGAATTTCTTCTAGAATTTTATCAAAAATGTTAAGGGTCTCTTCTAAAGTTTCTGTTTTCTCTTTCTGATTATCCTGTATATTTGCTCTTTTTTTCTTTTGAGGATTTTATCTTTGGAATCGATTGTTCTCCCATACTTCTGACATACCTTATACTACCGAGAACATAAATTCTAATAAAAGCTTTTATAGTTGGCATATGAGATTTAGTTATGCTTTTTAGGCCAACAAATATGTCTAGCAACTTATTTGCTATAGTTTGTAAATAAATTATATTTTAATCTTCAAGTTCACATCAATTTGCGTGAGGATCAAAATTAGATAATGATAATGCACTTCATGATATTTCCTTTTCCAATTGCTTATTTTTCTTACCCAAATGTTGAAAAAATTGTTTCATCAAAATGACAATTGACAAACTTTACCGTGAATAAATCTCCTATTGATGGTTGTAAATATTTAATTATAGATAGAGATTCATATCCAACTTATATTCCTAATCTCCTTTGAGGACCCATTTTTGTGCATTGTGGTGGAGTAATTGGAACATATACCACGCATCCAAAAATTTTGAGATAGTCAACATTTGTTTTTCGATCATAAACCAATTGTATAAGGAAGAATTTATAATAACTTGTTAACCTAATGCATACAAGTGCTGTTGCATCCAAAATGGCATGCCCACAAACAAAAATTGAGACTTTGGATTTCATAAACAATAGCCTTACAATTAGTTGAAAATGTTTAATAAATTATTCTATTAGACCGTTTTGTGTATAAATATCATTAATAAGTTGTTCAATAGTTATTTCAACTAATATATAATATTCATTAAAAGGCTTAAGATGTAAATTCACAAACATTGTAAAGATAAATAGTCTTGATTGCATAATCAAGAAAATGCACATGCCAATGAATGATTGCAAATGCTAAATTGCAAATTAATAATAAGCACACATATGATCATCTAATCAATGCATCGATTAAAATTGTAAAATATTTAAATGGTTAAATGGTGGATGTACAAATTCACATATATCACCTTGAATATGTTTTAAAAAATATAAGGGCTTCAATCCCACCTTTAGATAGTTATTGCTTTACACTAAATTTGCTTTCAAAGCAAGCAACACATGAGAATCCATTAAATTGAAAAATTTTCAATGGATGACTACATATATTTTCAATAACTTTTTGCATCATTATTGATCCAGGATGGCCTAATTGGTCATGCCAAACATTAAAATCATTAGTAAATTTCTAGTTTACTATAGGTTGAGTTTCAATCGTTCTAATTTTTATGTAGTACATTCCACTAGACAAAGTGAGTAATTTTTTCAATACACACTTTTTTACCCAAAATAATAGATGTAATATAAAGATATCAATGTCTCTTTCATTCATTGTCTCAATATGATATCCATTCAAATGAAAAACTTAATAAATTTCTTTGAGACTTGGTAGAAAATAATGCATTCTTTATTATGAACTTTATTCCTCTAGGTAGTAAAATATTGACTCTTCTAGAACCTTTAATTAATCTTGTATTATCAAATATTGTATTGACATTAGTTTCTTCCTTTGTCAATTAGGAAAAATATTTTTTATTTTTAAATATAATGTGCATTGTAGCTATGTCTGTTAAATATATATTTGCATCATTGGTCTTAGATCCAACAAGATTAATATCAATATTTTTCTTCAATAAAACAAGATACATAATAAGAAACTTATAAGTTAACCTAAGAGAATAGTGAATATATAATTTATTAATAAAAACACATAGTAAAAATATATAATTTAAATATAATAAGGACATATAAAAATATCTTCATAAT